CCCAGGCTCCCCATGTGAAGATTTTTGTTTAAGCTGTAAAACATACACATGCCATGGTAAGGATGGGCATGACTCTATATCAAGATGCTGCCCGTGGTTCTCTCTGAGTAGGACTGTGGTGCTTTTCCTGCTCTTTCTGCCTGTCTGCTTTTTCTATAAACGTCAGGGGTGGTTTACTATTAAGACAGTAGTAACAAAAGCAATAACAAGAGCAAAAGAAAGTTTGTGTTAGAGGAGAAAAACAGAATAGAATTCAGAAGTAGAGCTGCGGGTCGTGGACAAGTACAGGCAGAGGCCAGCTAGCCAGAGACCAGAAAGGGCGTGGGAAGCGGGACATACCTGCCTGAGCAACTGGATAAAGAGAAACCAAAATCAGAAGCTCTGGAAATGGCTCTCGCCAGAAGTAGCAGCAGGCGTGGTGACCCGAGGAGCCTCATCTGTCCACCAGGACCCAGATGGGAGGCCCTCTTACTGCGGATCATGAGACCGGCAGGGAGCCCTGGGGACACAGCCCCTGGGGACACCTAGTTCTGCAGGCAGCTCTCCTCCCTGTCTTCCCATCCCCGAAGCCGTCCTGGAAACACAGCATGATGGATGTACTACCCCCATCACAGAGAGGAAGCCGTGCTCCAAGTGTCGGCTGGTCCGATCCCTAGTTCTGAAGTGGAAGGTCTCCCTGTAGTTTCTTGGTTTAAAACACCTCCTAATGCAGGGAAGCCTGTGACCACAAGGGCTGACACTGCCTGCCCCTTGTATGTGATCCTCGTCAGTGCCCACATCCCCACACTTACAATGGGACTGAGACAAGCCATCAGCTCTGTCTCAAGAGGCAGTGATGGCAGAGAATGCCAGGTTCCATCTAAAGTCAGGAGGTACAAGACCAAAAAAAACGAAGCAGACTCACATCCGTGGGTAGGCATGAGGCATTAAGTGTGGATAATCATTTTATATATCCTTCTCTAAACACTTCACAATTTCACCTTCACCCTGCTTCTCCTAAAATCTTCCCATCCAGGTCTTACCAACCTCTGCATTACCATGACTTCTCCAATGTGCACAGCTGAGGGCTACAGAGAAAGCTACGAGCAGGAGATCGTCACGGGCTCCATAGAGGGCCTACACCAAAGGGAGGAGACTCTCAATCTGAAGTCATGCTAGCCATGCCAGGGACAGTAGGAGGACTCGCACGTGCCATGAGAGGGCAGCCTGCCAACGGGGAGCAGAAGACATCTGCATCTCACCTCCCCACCCAAAGATGACTAAATCCCCCAAGTCTAGCAGAGAAGCTGGTCATCTGTCTACATGGTCTGGCTGCTGGGATTTGGTGACTACATGGTATGGTCCTCCAGGCTCACACTTCCAATGAAAAATGTCAACTCTAGTCACCAACACTCACTGGTTACCAATCCACAGGGCTACCTTGTGTCCAAATGGAGCCTGGAAGCCAAAGAACGTAGTAGTTATAAACACTGGCTCAGGAGTCAATGCTATCTGGGTTTGAACCCTGCCTCTGTCTCAGCCGGCTGTGTGACCCCAACCAATTACTACACTTCTCTGTGCCTTAGTTTCCTTAGCTGCTGCATGCATTAAATGAGATAATGTGTCTAAAATACTTAGCAGGGGGTGACCCATAGTGACAGCTCAGTAAATGCCAACTAAAAATAATTTATCAGGGTATCTGCATACGCATCTGTGTGCACACACACCCATAACGCTGACAGCACCCAATCCCCGTGACCACATCAGGACCAGGGAGTACCAAACCCACAATGTGTTCTAACTGCATACTCCCCATTCTCCCACTGGTGTCTGTCACCATTAGACAGTGAAAGGGCCAAAGGAAGAAAACACAGATTGTGGAAAGTATGGGAAAGCCAGGCTAGAAGAAGCAGGGAGCCTTGTCAAAGCTGGGGTTTCAGGACAGAGCCCAAACCGCAGAAAATTGCATCAGCCAACTGCAAAACACAAAACCCTACGTGCATGTACACGTTATGCAGAGGAAGAAGGCTGGGGGCGGGACAGGGAAGAGAGAAAGAGAATTCCTGGCATCTAAGTACTCTCCCTTTGCCCCCGCACCAGCAGATGCTCACAAGCTGACCCGGGCCTTGGCCAAGCTCTTGGCTCCTGCTAAAGCAAAGCCTGCGCACGTCCCTCAAGAAAGTGACCTCTTCAAAGGCTGGGCTGGGGAGCCCTGTCCAGGGAGAGAAAGGGCTCCTCGAGAAAAAAGTAGAAAGAAAATGAGGGAGAGGAATGAAAAAGAAGGCAGGGAAGGGACAGCAGAGAAACAAGAGAGTCAAGGGTCAGAGTCAGGAAGAGTCATCAGAATTCAGAATTGGGCCAACTGGGGAACGTCCTTCACAAAAATCATCATCTTCACAACTAGCCCCATTTGGGTCCGAAACAGACGTCAGGGAGAAATGAGAATCTATGCAGGCTCCTGGGGTCTGGGGGTTGAAAAAGGAATGCAAGGATTCTAAGAAACAGAGCACATGCTCAGTGTCTTGTAGACTAAGGGGCTCTCAGCACAGGAAGCTGGCAGGTGGACAGCCAGCAGGCCCTCAGCTCATTTCCAGTCATGGGCTGGACAGGAGACACAGAACAGAAGATCGACAGTATTTGTTTGGGCAGGGGGAAGAATGAGATGCCTCACTGCAAGGGAAGGAGGGGGCCTTGCCTGAATCTATTGTTTAAAAGAACTAGACCCATTACCTGGGCCACTCATGATCTTTCTTTGTCATCAAGTTGAAATAAATATCAATGAAGATTTCTGGGGGGCCTGGGTGGCTCAGTTGGTTAAGTATCAGACTCTTGGTTTCGGCTCAGGGTTGTGGGATCAAGACCTGCATCGGGCTCTGCACTCTGTATGGAGTCTGCTGGAGATTGTCTCCCTCCCCCTCTCCCTCTGCTCCTCCCCTGCTTGTGCTCTCTCTCTCTAAAATAAATAAATAAAGTCTTTAAAAAAATGAAGATTTCTTTCCAGCTAAACATGGTGGACCGAACATTCACATCCATCTCTATACTCCCTCCCAAAACCCCATTAAAAACAAGAGGATGACATCAGGGAAATATAAATCAAAACCACAATGAGATACCACCTTACACCAGTTAGAATGGCTAAAATTAACAAGACAGGGAACAACAAATGTTGGTGAGGATGTGGAGAAAGGGGAACCCTCTTTCGCTGTTGGTGGGAATGAAAGCTGGTGCAGCCACTCTGGAAAACAGTATGGAGGTTCCTCAGGAAGTTAAAAATAGAACTACCCTACAACCCAGCAATTGCACTACTGGGTACTTACTCCAAAGATACAGATGTAGTGAAAAGAAGGGGCACATGCACCCCAATGTTCATAGCAGCAATGTCCACAATAGCCAAACTGTGGAAGGAGCCGAGATGTCCTTTAACAGATGAATGGATAGAGAAGATGTGGTTCATATATACAATGGAATATTACTCAGCCATCAGAAAGGATGAATACCTACCATTTACATCGACATGGAAGGAACTGGAGGGTATTATGCTAAGTGAAATAAGTCAGAGAAAGACAATTATCAGATGTTTTCACTCATATGTGGAACATAAGGAATAGTGCAGAGGACCATAGGGGAAGGGAGGGAAAACTGAATGGGAAAAAAATCAGAGAGGGAGCCAAACCATGAGAGACTTTGGACTCTGAGAAACAAACTGAGGGTTGTGGAAAGGGAGGTGGGGGGGGATGGGGGCAACTGGGTGATGGGCACTAAGGAGGGCATGAGATGTGATGAGCACTGGGTGTTATATACAACTAATGAATCACTGACCACTACACCAAAAACTAATGATGTACTATATGTTGGTTAATTGAATTTAAATTAAAAAACATAAGAGGATGACAAGCTTTAGCAGAGAAACAAACTGGAATCAGCACATTATCTGATGAACAGTTACTGTTCAATTCTTACAAAAATCTGCTTTATAAGAATTAGTGGTAGGAACACTCACTATAAAAAAGAAAAGGGCAATTTCTTTTTCAGGAGAGCAGAGACTTCAATTGTTTAGTTTTTCATGATTTCTCCAGCACCTAAAAAGCGTCTAGCAGTAGGCATTCAAGCCACTATTGAATAAACGCACTCCCCAACAAAGGAGCACAATGTGATCCAATAGTCTATGCCTAGTACCAACTCTGCTACCCTTCATTCCCTATTAACCAGCACTCTTTAGATGTTTTCTAATGTCTGCAAGATTATAAGTTGAATAAAATTGCGGCCTGAAAAAGACAATTATTAACTGCCTTTCTGATTAAAAAAAAAAAATTCTGATTTTAAAAAAACTAATTATAATCTATTACTCTGCTCAGTTGTAGAAATGGTATTAGGAGAATACAATGGGGAAGAGCGTAGAGCGTATATCCATGAGGGAAAGTCCATAAAAGCTCAATCTTGTACTTCCGTCAAAAGTCAACAGCTCTGTCTCAAACTAGTAAGTCCGAAATAGTGATACAAACATTTTATTTAGATAAATGGAGGTAAAAAGTAGATGAAGCAGCTTTCCGTGGAGTCAGAACCCACACTTTAATTCTCTCAGAACTGGAGATGAGTGAGTGGCCCTACAGAAGAAGACCTGCTGGGGAAAGGCAGAACAGGGCCTCTGGCTTACCTTTAGAAGACATGCAGTAGTATTTGACTTCTAAAATCATACCCATAGAACACTTCGATCAAGAACGAAATTTTCTTAAACAACAACAAAGATTATTTCAAGACCTCGCTCAAATGACTCCTCCCTCCACAAAGTCTTCTCAGATCTCCTGTGAAAACGACTGTCGGTACCAAACGTCTGGCAATTAATCCTATTCCACTTGGTGATGAGCGCAACTCTTCTATCTTCTATCTTTCCACATGTCTTGAGTCCCTAAGTTACAATTGCTTCATGGGAAAGTGCGCTTCTCACAACTGAGGAGTCCACCGCAGACCAGGTGATTAAATCCACAAGCTCGGGAGAGGGGCGGCACCCGGCTCCCCGTTACCTGCATAAGCGTTGGCCTGCTGCAGAAGGTCGGTGCAGGTGTGCACGTCTGCAAACGCTCGGATGCCCAAGCAGTTGGTGGGATGCAACTGAGATTGCAGGAAGTCACAGCAGTTCTGCCGAACGTCCATGAGCTGCAGCAAGCTGGCCGCTGGGAGCAGCACCTGCAGGAGAAGGTGACATGCTGAGACACCAGATCCCCTCCAGCAGGCCCTCATCGCCCTAAAGCACTGGTCCAATCAGAGCACTCCCTCCCTCAAGGTCCTTGCGTGGCCCTCCCCTGCCTGTCCAACTAAGTCCAAACTTCCTTCAGGGCAGCCGAGCCTTATTTCCCACGACTCTCCACTTCGCAGCCCTAAGCACCAGCAGAGTCTCTGTATCCCTACATTCCATAGCAGTGCCTCCCAATCACTCATGTATCTATGAAATCTCTGGGCATCTTATTAAAATTCTGATTCAAGAGGTCTGGAGTAGGGCCTGGGGGCCTGCATTTCTAACGAAAAGCCAGGTGATGCTTGTGGCTACTGGCTCAAGAACCAAACTTTGAGTAACAAGCCCCTTATGGACTGAATGTTTGTGCCCTCCTCCCCTAAATGTGTATGTTGAAACCCTAACCCCAACATGACTGTATCTGGAGACAGGACCTATGAAGAGGTGATAAAGTTTAAATGAGATCATAAAGGTGGGGCCCTTACAAGAAGAGAAAGAGACACCAGAGCTCTTGCTCCCTCTACAATGTAAGGACACAGGGAGACAGCAACCTTCTGAAAGCCAGGAAGAGTCTCACCAGCAACTGAATCAACTAGAACTTGGACATCAAATTTTCAAAACCAGGAGAAAAACAAATTTCTGTTGTTTAATCCACCCATTCTATAGTCTTCTGTTATGGCAGCCCAAGCCGACCAAGATAGATTGGTTCTCCTACATGGCTACACCTGGAGAATTTTTAAAATACTAATGCCTGGGTCTCAGCTCCAAAGATTTTAACTTCAGAGGTATGAGGTATGGCCTGGACAGTGAGACACTGCCAAAGCTCCCCAGGTGTTTTTAATGTACAGCCAAGTTTGAGAAAGCACTTCCCTACAGCCTTTAGTGTACCATTTTCACTCAGGTGCTTACTAAATTGTTCACTACGGCCTTTACCACTTAATTACTAAGCATCTGTATATGCCAGGTACTGGTCTAGGCTCTGGGGTTAGTGGTAAGCGCAGTAAGCCAGACCCCGGCTCTTATGGAACTTACAATCTACTGGAACAAAAAAGTGACCCTCAGGGCGCCTGGGTGGCTCAGTCGGTTGAGCGACTGCCTTCGGCTCGGGTCATGATCCCAGGGTCCTGGGATCGAGTCCCACATCGGGCTTCCCGCTCGGCGGGGAGCCTGCTTCTCCCTCTCCCACTCCCCCTGCTTGTGTTCCCTCTCTCGCTGTGTCTCTCTCTGTCAAATAAATAAATAAAATCTTTAAAAAAAAAAAAAGAAAAGTGACCCTCAAATCCCTCAAGACTCAGACAATCACACTGTATTCTCCCATCCAACAGATAAATGGCAAAGAACATCCCTGGGTACATCCTCAGAGAAAGACAAAGGAGAGAATAGTTTCCTTTTAAAAGGTCATAGAACACATGGATGTATCTTGGAAAACAGAAATAGTTCCTGCTTAGGTGTTTTTCCTAAAAGCCGGGAAGACTGGCTTGAGCAGGCCAGAGGGGTGCTCAGACCGCCAACCCCACTCTAGTTTCCCGAGGACTTTCCCACAGCTGCCAAAGCCCCCTGGATCAAAAATCCAGAAGAAATGGCACAGTCCTACTAGACCCCAGCTCTGCTCCCTACCACCCCCACCCTAGGGAAGGGGTAGACAGTCTGAGAGTGACTTTCCAAAAAGAAATTAAAAAAAAAAAAAAAAATCACAGAGCATTATATTTTCTTTGAGGCTGCTGAGCTCAGGGCTCCCAGCATCCATTTCACCCCAAAACAACCCCCACATCCCAGGCCTTTGCTCTCAGCTGCTCCCCTGGCTTTCAGAGAGAGCATCTGGACCAGCTAGACTCCTGCTGTTCTCATCCACAAGGGCTTGCCCAGGAAGACATGGGCTACAGATGCATTTGTTTTCTTGATTCAGGGCACTACAAAAGTCTTTTTTTTTTTTTAAGCAATTTAAATTCTAGACCCTGACTTTCTCCCAAAACATATCTGAATGCCTCCATGCAATAAGGCCAAAAACCCCGCTCCACTGTCCATTCTTGGGCCTTGTCCCTCCACTACGGTAAGCAGCTAAGTTTTCTTAGGACCGAGGACACAGGACTTTCAGTGCTAAAACCTGGCAGCTGGTCACCCTTCCTCATCCCTGCCCACCTGCAGAAACCACCAAGAGCCTCCACCACCCGTGGTCCTACTCCCGAACTAAGCACCTACTCTCCACAAGGCAAGTTTTTCCTTCCTATGCGCTTAACTTCCTCCCTCACGCAGCTGAGTTCCAGGAAGTTAAAGAAAGTATGCTCCTCTCCTTTCTCTCTTCCACTCTCCTATGTCCCCAACAGTAAATTAACATCATGTCCTTAGTATTTTTTTGAGCCACTGGTTCATTCCAGAAACGGAGAAAGATAAAAGCACGCACTCTTGGGGGTTTTATTTATTTATTTTTTAAAAGATTTTATTTGTTTATTTGAGAGAGAGAGAATGAGAGAGAGCACATGAGAGGGGGGAGGGTCAGAGGGAGAAGCAGGCTCCTCGCTGAGCAGGGAGCCCGATGCGGGACTCGATCCGGGAACTCCAGGATCATGACCTGAGCCGAAGGCAAATGCTTAACCAACTAAGCCACCCAGGCACCCCTGCATCTTGCTTTTTTTAAACTTAACTTTGGGGTAGTCTTTATAGCAGTTCACAGAACTACTCCTTTTTAACTGCTGCATTGTGTTCCATTTTATAGATCTACAAAACTTTATCCAACCAGTTCCCCAATGATGGACACTTAGGTTGTTTCCAATATTTTCCTTTAACAAGCAGGGCTATAATGAATGCCCTTCTAGAAGGAAATGAGAATTAGATTTCCTTCTGTTGGGGATGGGGATTCTTCTTTTCCCTCCACTTTCCCCAGAGTTGCCTGTATATACAAAACATATCCTGTATTTTGTCCCGAGCTCTCTACCTACTGACAGGATGCCATGAATGTCCTGTACTCAGCTTTTTTTTTTTTTTAAGATTTTATTTATTTATTTGAGAGAGAGAATGAAAGACAGAGAGCACGAGAGGGAAGAGGGTCAGAGGGAGAAGCAGGCTTCCCGCGGAGCAGGGAGCCCGATGCGGGACTCGATCCCGGAACTCCAGGATCACGACCTGAGCCGAAGGCAGTCGCCCAACCGACTGAGCCACCCAGGCGCCCCCTCTTGGGGGTTTTAGACCATAAGGTGGTTCCAAATCTGACCACCTGAGCTCCATCGCCACTGAGCAGCCATAAACTGGGAACCTCAATTAACCTGTGAGCTTGCTCAGCCCAGCCAAACAGATTCTAGGACCAGATTAGTCCCGGCCTGCTAGTTAAGTAGACAACCATTAACCATTCTTGCTGAATACACAGCAGGAATGGAAAGCTGTGTTTCAAATCCCCAAATGACCTCTATGATACCCCTTGGGCCAGCACTAGCTACAAACTCTACAGTTGGGGCCACCGGTTGACCGCTCATCCCGGTCTGCTGAAACTTTGCCAGTTTCAGCACCGAAAGTCCTCTGTCCCAGGAGACCCCTCAGTCCTTGGCAAACTGGGGTGGTTGTTCACACTCAGGGCCAGGAACGTCTAACCAGTTACCCTAAGAACCCCTGGTGGAGAGGAACGATCAAATGTTGTCCAGCACACAGCCTACTCAGTGGTGGGACAAGCCCCAAAAGGGTCAGGCTGGCAGCCCTTTGAGCCTCACAGAGGAGGATTTCTGAGAGTCCAGTCCGCCCCCAGATTGCATTCCCAGCCAAGCCAAGATGACAGCATGCCAGGGACACAAGGCCCCTTCCCCCTTGCCTTCTTTTTCCCCACAAAGACAGCAGCACGGGCTGGTGCTTAAATTCTCAAGCTCGTGACAATCGGCCAAAGAAATTAAATAATAAATACTTCCTGGACATATTCCTCAGGTTATAGTTTCAGTTTTTAAAACCTCCCTGGATAGAGCTACCCACATAGCTTTTCCCTACTGTTCACAAAACACACTTAGCAGGCAAAAATTATAAAAGTTTTCCACCTTTCCACACCACCCCCCCAATCCTGTTTAGGTCCACTCCTGCCCAAAAGCATTCCCAAGATGACTTCCTCAAGTGAACGGGGGCTTGTGGTTTCTCTAATTGCTCCTTCCCTCTCTTTGATCTTACACTGTGATTAGCTATGACTCAAAGGGCCTTTTCTTCCCACTACTTGCTTCATACCGGAAGGCGTGAAGAAAAGTAAAGTAAGTCAGAGAGCTGAGGGCAAGGTTTGGAGGCTGGGAGATTTATCACTGCTCCCACTCTGTGTCTCAGGGATAAATGGGGGCCCCATCCGCTGGGGTTCTGGGGGCTGCACACCATGCGAACAGACACAAATCCCCAGAGGCTGTGAAAGAAAAGAGAGCAAAACATCCATAAGGTGGCTGTCCTCGCTTCCCTCTCCCACATCAACAAGGGCTTTCGGAGGATTTCCTCTTCTCTTATCTCACGTGCAACTTGACTCCCTTGAGGGGCAGCAGTAACGGGCTGTGAGCAAGAGGCCAAGCTCAGGTCCTCAGCTTGGTGGAATCACTGGGGCAGTCCCGCTTGGTGCCTGGAAGGAGGGGGCCAACACTGGAGGAGCTGCTGGTTGGAACCACCATGGGGATGCAAGAAGAGTCGAGGTCAAAAAGCTTTCAGCTTGCCTCTTGCCACCCCAGCATTTCAGTTCTGGGAAGACAGACTCTAGAATGACCCTCAGCAGAGAGTTTACAGGTTTCCCTCCAGCTTGCAAATGGCCTCCCCTCCATTTTCCACGAGCAGGCCCCGTTTTGTTTTTTTTCTCTCCCTCGGATAACATGAAAACACAGCAGAGGATATCCCGTCACTGAGTTTGTTTCCTCTAACAAAAACAAAAGGAAATGCCCTGCCTCAGAAAGCACCGACTCCTGGAATTTCAGGGAGGCAGGGCCATGCCTAGAGGGAGGGAGATCACCAACCAGAGGGCCAGGCCACACAGTGGGTCTGTCTCTGCCAACACCAGGCATGAGGCCTGGCACAAAAACATTGTTAAATAAAAATATGTTGAAAAAAAAAGAAAAAGAAAGTGGGGGAGGGGAGAGAGAGAGAGAGATTGAAAGAGAGAAGGAGGGAGGGAAGAAAAGAGGGAGAGGGAAAGCGGTTGGAGATGAGCAGGAGAGCTAACAAACTAGCACTGCTGTGATTAAAAGTGTCCCCTAGAATCTGACTTCTCCACTTACAGGCCATGTGACTAAAGGCAAATTACTTAACCTCTCTGTGCTCTGCCACCTGGACAATAAAATAAAGACCATAATGGTACTGCCTTCAAGGCTTGTTGCAAGAATCAAATGAGATAATACATTTAAAGCAGGCAACAAAGCACCTGGTACACAGGGAGGGCTCAGTTAAATTAGGTTTTATTATTATTGATTATCATGAGCTGGAGTCAAGATTCTGATCCTTGATTTAACAAGAAACTCAAGTTCACCACGTCAACAGAGCACAGTGAGGTGGAGAGAGCAGGATTCAAACCCCAAAGCTACTACCTATTTAACCACTGGGGAGCATTAGCTTCTTCAACTGTAGAAGAAGGACCATATTAGAATACTCGTTTGGTAGTGATGAAATTAAGGGAAATAATGCACATGAAGTGACCAACACATGCTTGGCTTACAACCAGTAATACTAAGTGTCAGCTCTGATGGCAGTTACCTCCACCATGGAAGGGCAATGCCGTCTCTCCAGGGTAAGGGTGGCTGGGAAGGAATTAAGGGTGGAGCTCTGCAAGCCATTTAAGCAAGCCCCAAATCTCTGACCATTGTTTCTCAGGCTTTCAGGGGAGCCCCGGTGCCTCCACGCTCTCCTCCGCGATGCACCAAATCCTCGACAAAGGGTGTCTTCCTAGCTTGTGAGCAACTGCCTCAGCAGATACATCACAACATGAAGAAGCAGCCACAATCTGATCCCAACTTTCTCTTCTCAACCTTTTAAGTTTTGTTTTCCCCCAGGTCAGCCCAACCAAACCACATTTTAAAGTGCGGAGGAACAAGGTAAACGATTAGTATATTTCACCGATGCCGAGTAATGCACAGTTCCCTGACTTCTGCCTTGTGCCCCACAGTGGAGCCCCTGCACATGCCCCCCACCCCCCCACACACACATGAACACAGCTGGCCCCTCAAGGGGCCCATACACCAGTGGGCACACAGACATGCGGGCAGAGGAGGAAAGCCTGACCTCACAGTCTTCTTCAAGATGGGGCCCACACAACACCTCCTCAGTGAGGCTGCCCCCCTGACGATCCTCACCAAGGCAGCAATGGCCATTCCCTGAGTCCTGGGTACCTCCACCCTGGCCCTACCACAGCGGAGAGGACCCAGGTGCTTAGCCATCTGTCTCTAGCCTCAGACCATGTGCTCCTTAGTGACAGGGTCTCTGTGCTCAGAGTGCCCCTACCTCTGCCAGCACAGGGGAGCAATGTTATAAGGCTTTTACCTGTATTGATTCATTTAATCCTCACACCAACCCTCTGAGATTAAGTGCTAGTATTTTGCCCATATTACAGATGAAAACACTGAGGCACAGAAAGGTTAAGAAACTTGCTTAGCGTCTCGCAGCTAGAAAATGGTGGAGCCAGGATTTGAATGCAGTCTGACTCATGACTACCCAACAGAATGGGTACGATTATGAAAACTGATCCTTGAGGCAGGCTATTGGTGGGGGTATCAGAGAGGCTCCGGTAGAAGAGGGAACACAAATCAGAAGCTGACACATAAGTGTCTCCTCTGGCCAGAGCTCGCTGAGACCCATGCCTTCACTTTACAGCTAGAAAAACTGACACCCTGCAGGGCGACAGGGCTAGAGTAAGAGCACTCTGCCCATCAGTGGTGAGGCTAAGGCGTGGAGCCAGGCCTCCACCCGTACTCAACTCCTGCCCCATCACTACTTCTACTTCTCCCTCTGAACCTGCACATCTTCAGTCTGGCCCCCTGCCCTGCCCCTATACAGTAGTTTTACCAGAAGCAATGGTGAAGCCACGTTCTACACAGTCCTCTGGTGAGTCTGTTGCTCCTGCCTTAAGAACACTGTGTTGTATACAATACCACCGGGTTAGACCAACGCTGCAAAGATCAACACCCGGCCAGGCGATAAGGATCCAGAGTGGAACATCTTCTCATTATCCAAGTTTGTAAACACTTTGTTCTTCACGGGGTGGGGGGAGGTACTACTCGTGATATGATAAAAAGGGAAGAAAAAGCTGGTTCCAATCATACAATCTACAACCTCACAGTGTTGTGGGTTTTTTTTCTGGGGGGTGAGGGGGGTTGGTTTTGTCTTAGCTTAGTGGCTTAAAACAACACAAATTCATTTTCTGACACTTCTGAAAGTCCTAAGTCCCAAATGGGTCTCCCTGGACTGAAATAAAGGTGTAAACAGGGCTGCATTCCTTCTGAAGGCTCTAAGGGAGAATGTTTCCTTGCCTTTCCTGCTTCTAGAGGCCACCCACATTACTTGGTTCATGGCTCCCCTGTCTTCAGAGATGGAAACATCAAGTTGAGCCTCTGTCGGGTCACATCTCTCTGGTTCTCCTTATCCGCCTCCCCCTTCCACTTTAGAGAGCCGCTGTGACTCTATGCGCCCCCCCCCGATAATCTGAGGTAATCTCCCCATTCTGCTGATCAGCAACATTAATTCTATCTGCAAGGTTAATTCCTCTTTGACAGTTAACCTAACATATTCACAGGTTCCAGAAATTAGGACATTTGTTGGGGGGCGTCATTACTCTGCCTACCACACTATAGGATTAATAGTTATTGATTAGGGGTGCCTGGGTGGTGCAGTTGGTTGAGCACCCGACTCTTGGTTTTGGCTCAGGTCGTGATCTCGGGGTCGTGAGATCAAGCCCCACATCAGGCTCTGCACTGAGCACAGAGTCTGCTTGAGACTCTCTCTCCCTCTGTCCTTCTCCCCCTCTTCTCTCTAAAATAAATAAATCTTTTCTTAAAGTTATTGATTAGACCCTAATGCAAGATTTTTAAAAATTATTTACCCCCTGCACATTTTTAGGTTGACATCTAGCATTTTTCATAGTTGCAAAAGATGTAATTTTTTGCATCTTGTAAATCTCATTATTTACATCACTTTTTAAAATACCCAAGTGAACATTAATGTGACGATGATATAACCATCATCCATTTAACATGTTTTTTCAACACATGCACTATACTCATTTTATACCAAATTACTCTGCACTCACTGTTACTGCCCAAAAGTTATTCCGCTGTTTCAATTCTGCTCCTAGACCTAAGATGTGCACACTCCGCTGCCCACTCCATTCTGGATGAAAAAGACCAGAAACAAAAGGGGATGGCTATGTGTTTTATTGTGTATAAAATATACCTCAATTTTTAAAAGGGCAGGGGATTATTAGATTAGATCACTGAACAATCCAAGAGTCTGTCCAGAGGCAGAGACAAAGGCAGGCTCTATTGAGAGGCAGGCTCTGCAGGACCAAAGGCAGGGCGCCTCAGACCCCCAACCTGCCTGTACCATGTCCCCTTCACCCTCACCAATACCCTGCACCACACTGTTACCAGAAGCAGCTCCCACTCATGTGCTGGCCACAGCTTAAATCCAATCTCCCAAAAGAGCCCTTTCCAGATCGCCTCATCCATCCAGACTGAGTCCCCCTGATAGTGTTTATCATGTTCCCTTCCTTCAAAGGACTTACCACAATGTGTGCTTATTTGACGAGCATCTGTCTTCACCCCTAGACCACAAACTGCATGACAGCAGGCAATGGAGCAGCCACTGCTCCTGTCACGATCACTGTGCCCAACAAAGTGCCAGGCATATAACAGGCACTCAGACATTCGAGTTGAATTGAATGAATAAACGATGACCAACTTAGCCTCCTTTACCTCCTGGTAAAGGAGGTGGTCATTCTGGATAAGGGGAATAGGGAGAACTGTGCTTTTAAAAGAAGAAGAAAAGAAAAATCCTTCGTATCACCTGCAACTTCCAGCACTTTACTGAAATAGTAAGGCCCTTAATGACAAGAAATAGTCTGTCCTGTGTCTGGGTTTAACCCAGGGCTTTGGAGGCCTCCAGAGTGGGCCACACCCTCAACCATCTCCCCTACTGAAGCCTGTCGACGCTGCATCGTGTCCCCACAGTAAAGACACACAACTTTGGGTGAGGCAGTGTCTTCGGCTCCTCTTTTCAAGGCTCCAGATTGCCGAGGATGAGGGCAGGGCAGCAAAAGGAGGAAAAGGCAGCCACACACCCCTGCTGAGGCTCAGACCTGGTGCTTGGCACCTCCGTCTCTGAGCATGAGCGCTCAGAGAAACTCGGCTGACTAATGTTGAAACAGGAACAATTTTTAACAGCCTCACAATCTGCTCTGAGAATCCCTGAGATGAGACGATGACTGGGGATAAGTGGGGTCAACCAGGCTTTTAGTTCTTCCTTCACCCAGAGTTTGAACCAACATGAGATAAAGACTTTGTGCTCGGGGCCCAAGCTCATTCAGAGGTATCATGGCTTCGTGGTTAAGGGCATGGGTGCCACAGTCAGGCAGGCATGAGTTTGAGGGTCGTTCACCCACCAACATGCCATGTGATGCAAGGCAAGTCACCTAACCTACTTGGAGCTTTAGTTTCCTCTCCAGGTACCAAATGAGTTGTTGCGAGGGTTCAGTGAAATGAGGCTGTAGAACAGTGTCCCTGAGTGTGGGATGAGCTGTGAGCTGGGGCTGAGTTTACCTGGACATTCTCTTCGGTCACCTCAATTTCTGCCGTATAGATGTAGTCAATCAGCTTATTCAGCGTCCTCCCATCCACATCCTTGATTTCTATCTTCTTGGCTTTACTCTCAGACATGTCACCTACAGTCCAAAACAAAACCAAAATGGACACAAACTTGGTGCTTAACTTTCACAGAGAAAGTTGCCCTGTCTTAGCAACATAAAAGCACCAGCAGGCAGCAGAAAGGACTCGGGCGCAGAGGAGTATAAAACAGCCGACATCGGGGTCACACCAACTTTGGATCTGTGATCACCCGCAAACCAGTCTGAAACATTCCCCACGCTGTCATCCATTTCCATTTTGAAGCACATCCGTGCAGTAACTCATTCAACTAACATTTACTGCAAGCTTATATACCCAGGGCCAGGAAAAGTAAACAAGAGATGCACCTGCCCTCAAGGAGAACAGGTCTAGCACAGCCGATATATAAAAATATATGAGATGATCTGAGCTTAATAGAGATATATACAAAGTACCAGTATAACAACAACAATACAAAGTAACATTTACTGAGTGCTGTGACTAAGCACTATGCGAAGCACTTGAAAGTGGTGCCTCCAAAAACAGACACATAGATCAATGGAACAGAATAGAGAGCCCAGAAATGGACCCTCAACTCTACGGTCAACTCATCTTCGACAAAGCAGGAAAGAATGTCCAATGGAAAAAAGACAGTCTCTTCAACAAATGGTGTTGGGAAAATTAGACAGCCACATGCAGAAGAATGAAACTGGACCATTTTCTTACACCACACACAAAAATGGACTCAAAATGGATGAAAGACCTAAATGTGAGACAGGAGTCCATCAAAATCCTAGAGGAGAACAGAGGCAGCAACCTCTTCGACCTCAGCCGCAGCAACTTCTTCCTAGACACATCACCAAAGGCAAGGGAAGCAAGGGCAAAAATGAACTATTGGGACTTCATCAAGATAAAAAGCTTTTGCACAGCAAAGGAAACAGTCAACAAAACCAAAAGACAACTGACATAATGGGAGAAGATATTTGCAAATGACATATCAGATAAATGGCTAGTATCCAAAATCTATAAAGAACTTATCAAACTCAACACCCAAAGAACAAATAATCCAATGAAGAAATGGGCAGAAGACATGAACAGACATTTCTGCAAAGAAGACATCCTAATGGCCAACAGACACATGAAGAAGTGCTTAACATCACTCGGCATCAGGGAAATCCAAATCCAAATCAAAATCAAAACCTCAATGAGATACCACCTCACACCAGTCAGAATGGCTGAAATTAACAAGTCAGGAAACGACAGGTGTTGGCGAGGATGCGGAGAAAGGGGAACCCTCCTACACTGTTGGTGGGAATGCAAGCTGGTGCAGCGACTCTGGAAAACAGTATGGAGGTTCCTCAAAAAGTTGGAAAATAGTGCTACCCACGACCCAGCAATTGCACTACTGGGTATTTAGCCCAAAGATACAAATGTAGTGATCCAAAGAGGTACGTGCACCCCAATATTTATAGCAGCAATGTCTACAATAGCCAAACTATGGAAAGAGCCAAGATGTCCATCAACAGATGAATGGATAAAGAAGATGTGGTATATATATACCATGGAATATTACTCAGCCATCAAAAAACCCGAAATCTAGCCATTTGCAACGATGTGGATGGAACTAGAGTGTATTATGCTAAGCGAAATAAGTCAATCAGAGAAAGACAAGTATCATATGATCTCATGATATGAGGAATTTGAGAAACAAGACAGAGGATCATAGGGGAAGAGAGGATAAAAATGAAACAAGATGAAACCAGAGAGGGAGACAAACCATAAGAGACTTTTAATCTCAGGAAATAAACTGAGGGTTGCTGAAGTGGTGGGGGGTGGGAGGGATGGGGTGGCTGGGTGATAGACATTGGGGAGGGTATGTGCTATGGTGAGTGCTGTGAATTGTGTAAGACTGATGAATCACAGACCTGTACCTCTGAAACAAATAATACATTATATGTTAAAAAAAAAAAAAAAGAAGAAGAAGAAGAAGAAGAAGATAGTAGGAAGGGAAAAATGAAGGGGGGGAAGTTGGAGGGGGAGACAACCATGAGAGACTATGGATTCTGAGAAACAAGCTGAGGGTTTTAGGGGGGTGGGGGATGGGTTAGCCCAGTGATGGGTATTAAGGAGGGCATGTACTGCATGGAGCACTGGGTGTTATACGAAAACAATGGATCGTGGATCACTACATCAAAAACTAATGATGTACTGTATGGTGATTAACGTAACATAATAAAATTAAATTAAAAAAAAAAGAAAGTGGTGCCTCTTTCAATCTTCACAACCACTCATGAGTTTCATTAATATTATCCCCCATTTTACAGATGAAGAAACTGAGGCACAGGAGGGTGGGTATTCATTTTGTCCACAGTCACACATCTAGGAAGGGGCCAGGCTGGGACTGAAACCAGGGAGTAGAACCCTAGAGCCCACACTCATACTCACTGCTCTATACTAAATCCCAAGAATGCAGAAGATGGAACAGCCAACCCCGGGAAGTCATCCTAGTAGGAGGTCACATTGAAGCTGGGTATTTCCACAGGCAGCAAAGATGAGGGAGCATGAGCTAGAGGTAAGAACCTTAGGTGTAAAGGCAAGAAAGTGCCAAAAGGATAAATTTGGGGAACAGTGAGAGGCTGGTCCCAGGTGACAGTGAGAGGAAGCTAGAGGGGTAGCCAGGGGCCAGGCCTTGCAGAGCCCTGTAAGCCATGCAAATGAGGTTGAACTTTCTCCTAAGTGTAGCACCACTGAAAGGTTATAAACAGGAGAATGACATCAACAGATGGGCATTTCTGAGTGAAAATTTGGACACATGGTGGAAGCTGGATCAGAGGCAGGGAAAACAGTTGGGAGGCCCTGATAATAATCCAACAAAGGAAGGACAGAGCCTGTGAACTAGGGCAGCCGTGGCACCACATCTGCAGTCCTGAGGCCCCTTAGCTCAGCCTGTGCTCTCTAGACAGCATATGGGTTTATTATAGCCAGGCTCATTCAACAAACGCTGCTGATTTCAGAAGGAAGAGACAGGCTAGGCATGAGTCTTTGTAGACTGAAATAAAGGGCAACTTGACTGCAAGAAACAGGGATTCGGAAGCCCTTGTGTGAGTACGAAAACAGAGCCTGGGTAGTTGTTTTCTCTCTGTGGAATTTGTGCAATGGAGCCAAGAAAATAAAGTACAGTACAGTGTGTGGGCTGCAGACGCCCACCTCCAAGCTGCACGAGCTGCACATGATTCTTCCACCAATCCACAGTTCCCATCCTGACACAGTTAGAGATTTGAATGAGTCTGGAAGAGGGAGGAAAGGGAGGAAAACCACTCCGAATCCTGCCCATTCCCTCCACTGCCAGATCAGGTAGACCAGAAACCCTCCACTGTGTTCTGTCTTCTCTCTGATTGCTGGTAGAAGCCAGTGAAAAGGCCTCAGTATAAAGGGCCCTGAGGCAGCACAAAGAGGCTAACAGGAAACAGGAAAGGACAGTGGATTTCTACTGCACCCATTAGACAGGCTCTCACAATCTCCCTCTTGAGTTTACTCCAAGACACATAAATAAAACACACACCCAAGGAAATCAGAAGTTCAACTTCTCTCTCTAAATAGCTGTTAATGGGGCACCTGGCTGGCTCAGTTGGTCCTGGGATCGAGTCCCACATCTGGCTCCCTGTTCTGTGGGGAGTCTGCTTCTCCCTCTCCCTCTGCCCCTCCCCCAACTCGTGCACTTCCTCTCTCTCTCTCAAATAAATAAAATCTTTAAATAAATAAATAGCTATTAAGAAGTTCATCAGTAAGAGTCCAGTTGATAATTATAATGCAAAAGATAATTACAGACAGTCAATTCTTTGGTTAAGAACTTGGGCCTTAGAAAAAAGACTGAAAAAAGAAGCACCTGAACACAAGAACCAAGAGATTCAGAAACCCTTATATGAGTGTGAAAACAGAGCCCAGCTTGATTGTTTTCTCTCTGTGGAATCTGTACTTGGGAGTCATATTAGTCAATTTTGTAACTTTGGGGTAAACAAGTGGAAACTCCTAAAATTATATGAAAATATTAGTATATATGGTCAAAAGTTTTATTTTTCTGGGGGTTGAAAGATCATTCTTATTAGTCAAATGTACAGCAAATATTAAGACACAATTTTCTAGATGGTAGAACTTTGGGAGATTTTTTTCTTGCTTCTTTAACATGACTTTGAAGTTTCTAATTTTCTGTATTAAATACTTAGAACTTCAATAAACAAGGGGGAAAAAAACACGTGAAAGAAAGACCATGGCCTCAAAAACAAAACCTATGTTTTAAGAAAGTTCCCTTATAGGGGCGCCTGGGTGGCTCAGTCGGTTAAGCGTCTGCCTTCAGCTCAGGTCATGATCTCAGGGTCCTGGGATCGAGTCCTGTGTTGGGCTCTCTGCTCTGCGGAAAGCCTGTTTCTCCCTCTCCCTCTGCTGCTCCCCCTGCTCCTCTCTCTCTCTGTCTGTCAAATAAATAAAATCTTTTAAAAAAAAGAAAGTTCCCTTATAGGAAATTGGAAACCTGTATAAGTCATGCAGACTTGTCAAATCCGATCTTAAGTATTTCTTAAGACCAGCAGAAATTACTGCACTAAACTAAGGCTTCAGCTTAAACAGACTCTGAAAATGGTAGCAATAATAGTTACTACTGTGTGTCAGGACCTCTGCTAAGGGTTTGCACACATTATTTCATTTGATCCTTGTAACAACTCCAGAAGGTAGATATTATTTCCATTTTACAAATTAAAGAACTGGCATTTCAAAAGGTATTTGCATATAGCTAGCGACAGACAGGGCTGGGATTTGCATCTTGGCCTAACTATAGACCGCATTTCATTTCTCATAAATCCCTGTGTAATTGAAACCTCACCCTAACTAATGACCTTGATAAAAGTATTCCCAAACAAGGCTTTGGTCCAAATTCTAAGGACAACTTAGTACATAAGACCTAGGCAAGCAAGAACCAAGAGGGATGAGATCTTGTCAAGTTTATTTGCCAAAATATCCTCGACACCAAAGCTCTTGGCGTATAACAAGCACTTAAAAAATACTT